TTTCTCACCTTGACCAGCCGCCGATACTGAGGATCCGACCCTCTGCATCGTAATACACTTGCGTGTGCCTGCCATGACGGCATGAAAGCCGTAATCCAGGGACTCAGCCGGATAGTGGGCCAACTTTGTTGCCCGCCGACACCGCGAGGAGGTGCCCTGGTTGCAGGCACACGCAAGATATAATAGGTATTTAGCTAAACACTAGAATTTTATAGTTATGGAAATACAAGAAGTTAAGGAATTGAGAGATTACGTATATATTAAGGATTTCACTGCAATAAATTTATTCTTGTCGAAGAGCCTATCCAGCCTAAATTTCGGAAATGAGTACCGTATTGGGACCGTTGCCTCTTGCATTTTGAGGTTATGGGGTTATGGGTTTATGCGGTTTAGGGGTTGAAGGGTTGGGGGTTTAGGGCTTAGGATTTTTAGGGTTTTTGGTATGATGGGATTATGGGGTTTAAAATTCAAGGGGTAATAAGGGTTTTTGGTATAAATTTTGAGGTTATGGAAAATCCTGATATGATGGGGTTAATCAGACCTCGGATTCGGATTCAGCGACCTAGAAAACATATAGTAAACATAGCCAGACCTCATTATTCATTTTTTCAATTTTTCTTGTGGAGCTGTGTAATATTTCAACGATATTTCGTCGACGTGCCTTGAGATGAATTTCGTCAGAATCATCAGACGATTAGAATATTAATTTATATCCGCGGAGAAGAAAACAATCTTTGCAGGCACATGCAAACGAGAAGAGAAGTCTGTTTTCTATTCTTATATTAATCCTCTTGATATAATTTATTCGCTTAAAAAGTCGATTATATCTACCAAATGTATGCATAAGTTTTTTCCGGTTTTTTGGTAAAAAAAAAAACACGTAATTTTCAAGGGAAATTAATTTTTTTTTAATTCAAAATATTGGCCATCGGCTTCTACACATTTCGCCCATCTTTCAGGTAATTTATGAATACCATGCCAGAAAAACTGCTTGTCTTTTGCGGCAAACCATTTCGAGTCGAGTCATTTTCCAACTTCCTCGAAATTGCTGAAGTGCTGCTCTGCGAGCGTGTGCCCCATTAATGCGAAGAGGTGATAGTCAGATGGCGCCAGATCTGGGGAGTACGGCGGGTGCGGATGTCCCATCCAAGTGATTTCAAGCTGTCTTTCACTGGTTTTGCTGTGTGAGATGGCGCATTGTCGTGTAACAAAATCACTTTGCCATGTCTTCTGGCCTATTCCGGTCGTCTTTCGATTAATGCGTGGTTTAAATTAATCATTTGTTGGCGATAGCGTTGTGTATTAACAATTTCGCCTGGCTTCAAGAGTTCATAATACACAATACCGCTCTGGTTCAACCAGACACAGAGCATGGTCTTCTTGCCGAAGCGATTTGGCCTTGGT